GTGGGGGGGGGTCCTCTTAGCGGCTCATGCCTTGAAGCTGGAAGAAGACTAGATATTTGTTAGGCTGAGGGTGGTGAGACACCGGCACAGGTTGCCCGGAGAGGTGGTGGGTGCCCCATCCCTGGAAGCATTCCAGGTCGGGTTGGACGGGGCTCTGAGCAACCGGATCTAGTTGAAGATGTCCCTGCTCGTGGCAGGGGGGGTTGGACTGACCTTTAAAGGTCCCTTCCAATCCAAACCAGTCTATGATTCTACGATTCTAAGAGACGTGTTCTATGGCCAGTGTCACTGTGCAACTTGCAGCAATAGCTGATATTCTGTAAGTTGTGGCTGGTTTGTGTCTCTTGAGCGGGTCTCCATCTTCTTGCAGTGCTCAGGGCTCTGCTGGAGTAGGTTTGACATTGAAATGACTGAAGGGCTCCTTCCTTTTCAGATTATCAACTGACGAGCGCTGAGTTGTCTTCGCTGCCAGCATTCAGCTCACCTGGTGGGCTGTCCCTTGGCAACATCTCTGCCTGGCAGCAGCAGCAGCAGCAGCCTGGCCGGCGCAGCAGCAGAAAAAGCAGCAGCAACAGCAGCAGCAGCAGCAGCAGCAGCAAGCAGCAACAGCAGCAGCAGAGCAGCAGCAACAGCAGCAGCAGCACCTGGTTCCCGTATCACTAGGAAATTTAATGTAAGTGAAATGGGCACCAGGGGCCGCTCCGTTGATGTTGTAAAAGGAAAGAGGGAAACGGGGAATTCCTCCAAGGTGCCAAACCTGCAGAACCCGAGCTGTGACTCCTCTGCTGGGTTATCATCAGCCTCCCACTGCAGGGCCCCGACAATTACAGTGGGTTTACACTGTGCTTCTAGGAGGCAGGAGCAGACGTGCCCACAGCTGCAGGAGGAGCCAGACCAGCCAGCTCGTGAAGTTCGGGGAATCCTGTCCCTACCACTGTCGTAGGAGTGACCCTGGAGTCCCCAGATGAGATCAGGGCGGCAGTGCGCTAGGTGATGCTCTCTGAGAGCTGCTTCTTGCTGTCTGTCCGCAGCAGGCGGATTGCTCTCTTCACCTCACGTCGGGGGAGCTGAGAGCCAGCAAGAGGCAGAGTTAAATGGGATGGTTGTTGCAGAGTAAGATGTCTGGAAATAGTGGTCCTGCTAGTGTAGAAAGAGGGTAGCTTTTAAAATTGAAAACGAATTGCTTTACTCCAGGGAAAAAAAACCTATGCACTTGCATATTGCAGCAGGTTTTCTGAAGTGGATCCGCTTTTAGTCTGGAATAAAGCGTCCACACACAGAGCTTCTTCAGAGTATCTTAGTCGAAATAAAACTGTAAGCAACTTGCCTGCGATCACACTTAAGGCCATGGGACAAAAAGAGGCAGGAATTGAAGAGGGGGATTCAGTGACTTTTACTCCTAAGCTGGCTTTGGGGCAGACTCTGACATCCCCAGCATGAAGTGCCAGGTATGGATGCACCAGGCTTTTGCGCAGTGAGTTCAGTGCGTTTCTCCACTGCCTGGAGCACGTTTTCCAGGCAGGGCAGGCAGCGGCTTCCCCAGCAGCTGCCGGGACCTCCTGCACCAGCTGGGCTGCAAGACGTGCGGAAAGCCTGGACGGAATTTTGGTGGAGCAAAACCACCCGTCCGAGCCCTCCACCGGATTTGCGCAGCCCAACGGGGGATGCTGGGGCGGAGCCGTAGGGGTGCCCGCAGGACGGGGGTGTCGCAGCCTGTCCCTCTCCTCCGTGTGTTTGGGTCGCTGCTGTGGGGACGGCGGGTGGGATCGGGGCTGGATCACGGGGTGCTAGTGAAGGGGGGATGCTGCCCGCAGGGTTGTGCGGGGTCTAATCCTGACTCAGCAGTGATGCGTCATGGTGAGTGCACAGATTATGAATTCTGGAGTCATAATAATTCATAATTCTAATTATGAATCCAGATTCATAATCTAATCAGATTAATAATCTAATCCAGATTCGTAATTCTGGGTTCATTCAGCCGCGGGGTGTGTGGGTTATGAATTCTGTGGATTGGAGGGTATAAAAGGCCACCGAAAAGATGAATAATGAGACTTCCCATTATCTCCTCCTCCTCCATCTGTTTCTCCCCCTTCCTCCCCTCCTCCTCTCCTCCTCGTCCTCCTCCTCCCCTCCCCACCCCATCCCCCCACCCTCCCGCTGCCCCGACCACGG